TCTATGAGGTGGATTGATTCAGTGACTGGGGTAATCGGGATGGGTGTGTCAGAGGCAATGAGATTGGCACAGGATAGAGCAGGGTTTAGGGCCGTTGTGCATAGGGTCGCTATGAGTTGCAAACGACTTGACGACACTTAACAACAACAACAACAGCTCTTAGAAAATATTCAGATTTATTTTGTAGTATTAATAATGTGTAAATGTAACCATCTAAAGTTTTTTTCTCTCAAACTTAGTTTCATATCAAGGTCTTAAAAATTTAAACATCATGAAGAGAGCTCTTTGATCATTTAAAGAGACTATGACTCAATAGTGACCTAGTGATCTGAACTGTGTCCAATCCTTCCCTAGCCTCATAATCTCTGATACGCTTGAGCACATTGTTAGTATTTGTGTCAGTATTTCTTGTTGAGAGTCTTCATTTCCTTCTCCTATTCTCCGCCTTTCTTAGCATGATATTTTTTTCCCAAGCACTGATCTCTCCTGACAACATGGCCAAAGTATAGGAGATGAAGTTTCACCATCTTTGCCTCTATCGAACATCCTAGTTAAACTTCTCTCTGAGATAGACATGTTCTTTTGGAAGTTTATGGGATATTCAGTACATTTCTCCACTACCACAATTCTAAGCATTGATTCGTCTTTAGTCATATTATTATTGTCCAACTTTCAGATGCATAGGAAGCAAATGAAAAAACATAGTTGATTAAGATATAATTATGATATTTTTAGATAAAGAGAAACTAAGGAGATTTGTGAAAAACTTATAAGAAAGCTTAAAACGATTTCTTTGGACCCAGACCCAACAACAACAGACAACAGACCAAATTCAACATACATGAAGAGGTTCTAATTGCTCTTAAAATTATTTCTCATCTTATTTTCTACTAAATTCTACCTTTGAGAATATAGAAGATACTTGGCTTTGGCTGCTTTTGATTTGTTCAAAGAATAGTGTAGAGTCTTAAAGGCTTTTTGAGATCTTTCGGTGAAGTTTGATGAATAGGTGAAAATGCTCTTGAAGAAATTAAATTAGCATTCTCATTTTAAACGATACATTGCCATATATGTAGAAATACCAGATATGTGCTGAAATATTTCTTAGGGAGAATACAGTTAAACACATGCTGTTTAGGAACTACTTTCATCTTGTTTGGTTCCACAATTTGGCACAAGCAATTAAGAAATCAAAAGACTAATAAGTGCACTGGGGCAATTTGCTATCAGGGACCTCTCCAGAGTAGTCAAGGGTAAAGACGCCAGTCTGGAGATTAAGGTGTGCCTTATCCAGGCCATGATCTTTGCATTTATTTACTATGCATTGGAAAGCTGGAAATGATGAAGGATGTTAGAAGGAGAATCTATGCCTTTGAGCT